GGCTGTTTCTCAATTGTGGGGGTCAGGACGGCTCTGAGACCTCAAAGGTCAGCTCCCACGCTAGAAAGAGGACAAGGGGAGCAAGTAAGGCAAGCAAGAGGCAAGAGCTCTTCTATTTTTTTTAAACTTCACCCAACTTATTTGGATTAGCTTCTACACAACAGAGAAAACATTCAATCTTTGACTTTTGGGGTCGCCTTTTTTCACTTAGGATAATCTCCAGTTTCATTCCTTTACAAACAAATGTCATCTTTCTTTATGGCTAAATAGTACTCTGTTGTGAATATATATCACATTGTCTTTGTCCACTCATCTGTGGAAGGGCATCTAGGTTTGTTCCGTAGCTGGCCATTGTGAATTGTACTGCTATAAACATTGATGTGGCTATGTCACTGTAGTATACTAATTTTAAATATTTTGTATATATGCCAAAGAGTGGGAAAGGTAGAAATTTGTATAATTGGTTTCAGGCTTTTCCTTTCTAATATAAGTATTTACAACTATAAATTTTCCTGTACTACTTCAAATTTTCCTCTAAACACCACTTTGGATACTTCTCATAAATTGTTTTTTTATTTTCATCCAGTTCTAAATATTTGTCATTTTTATTGTGACTTTTATATTTTGTCCATAGGTTATTTAAAAAGATTTTCTTTAATTTCCGAATGTGTAGAGATTTGCCATATATCATTTAATTTTTGATTTCTAGTTCAATTGGGAGTTCATCTAAATATATAATAATTATGATTTTAGTCCCTTAATATTTATTGAGACCCATTTTATTTCCTGGAATGTGGTCCATTTTGGTGGACATTTCATGTGCCCTTGAAAAGAATTTGTATTTCATCTTGTTGGTTGGAACATTGTAAAATATCAGGTAGTTTCAATTGTTGATTGAAATGGTGGTACTGATATTTTTAATATAGTTAAAAATTTTCTGTCTACTTCTTCTATACATTACTGTGAGAGGACCATGGAAATAATTATATATGATTTTGGATCTATCTATCTTTGCAGATCTATCAGTTTTGGATTTGTCTATATTGGTATATTTTAATAAGTAGGACTTAGATTATTTGCATTTAATTTAATAAACTATGGTTGGGTTTAAATCTAGCAGTTTCCCATTACTTTATACTGTCTCATTTGTTTGTTTTTTTATTTCTTGTCTTTTTCTATCTTCCTTTAGGTGAATTTAATATTTTTTTTTATGATTTCACTGTTCTGTCCAGTATTGACATATTAGCAACACCTCTATATTTATTCCTTTTTAACTTCTTTAGGCCATTGGTCCCCAAACTACATTCCTTGATCCACCATCAACTGAGAAAAACAAATTCTTGAGCCCCCTGACAAGATCTGCATGGGAAGCTTTTGGGAAGAGAAGCTATGTTCTGTGAAGGCCTAAAGGGGATTCTAATGAAGTAGAATTAGAGAAACATTGACCTAGGTGTATAGTATACATCATTAGCTATCTCAATCCTCTTGAAATAATATTTTGCCCCTTTGTGTACTACCATTATTTCATCACACATTTTGATATTGCTGTAATTGAAAGACATTTTTTTTTTAGTACATAATTTGCCTGATATAAAATGGTTGGCATTTTGCTTTGTCTTTCAGAACTTTGAAGTTGTCACTTCATTGCCTTTTGATGTGCACAGTTTGTGACAAGAAACCCACAATCATTCTCATTTTTCATCTTCTGTTTATAATTTATAGTATGTCTTTTTCTTCCTTTTTGGTACTCTGAAGCGTTTCTCTTTGCCACTGATTTTCAGCATTTTATTAAAGTTGACTTATTATGCTTTTCTTTGCCCTTATTCTCCTTAAAGATTCATGAGATCCTTGGATTTATAGGCTTGTTCTCATCAAATTTGAGAATATAATTTGTAATTATTTCTTTAAATACTTTTTTATCTTCTCCCTTGTCTTCTCGCCTGTTGAGGTGCCCTATACATTATGTTAAAACAGGTTTTTTTGTTTGTTTGTTTTGTTTTGTCTTTGTTCTCTGTACAATTCAATTTGGATAGATTCTAATGCTGTATTTCAAAATTTACTCATCTTCTGTAATTCCTATTATTCTGTTAACCCATCCACTTTATTTATTGTAAATTACATATTATTTCTAGATTTTCTATTTAGATCTCCAAAAATATGTTTCATTTTTCTTCTAATCATGTTGACATTTTTCTCTGAACATGTGAAATGCTCATATCATCATGGTTTCAAAGACCAAGTCTGATAATCCTGTAATTTCTGTTTTTCTGTGCCTGTTCCTAGTGAATGATCTTCTTCCTTGCAATAGTTTTCTAGCATTACCATAAGAAGATACCATTAATTGGTTGGATTAACAACAGACATTTTCTTTAGAGTTCTGAGGGCTGGAAGTTCAAGGTCAAGGTGTCAACATAGTTGGCGTCCTCCAAGGACTCCCTCCTTGCCTTACAGATGACTGTCCTTTAGCTGCCTCTTCATATGACTTTTTCTCTATGCATGCATAACCATGGTATGTGTTTAAATTTTTTCTGTTTATAAGGATACAAGATAGGTTAGACCTCTCTCTCTCTCTTTTTTCCTGGTGGTCCTTGGGATTAAACCGTGGGCTTTGTACATGTCAGGCAAGTATTCAACTACTGAGCTACAGCCCTACAGTCTTATTTTAACTTAATTTCTTAAAGGTCCTATCAGCAAATATAGTGATATTCTGAGGTACTGCCATTAGTCTTCAAAAACTGGGTTTGAGAGTGAGAGAGAAAAAAAAATAAGTCTGTAACCCTTCTAACTCTAGTTCATATTTTTTGTTTGTTTGTTTTAGAATTCCTGGGTTGCTCGTTTCACAAGGAGTTGAACTCAATTTTGAGGTTTAAATATCAGATGACTGATTTTGATTTAGTTCTTTCAGTTGTATTGGATTTATTCTAGCATGAAGTTATGTTACTTGGGTTCAGTTTGAGACTTGCTTTTAAGATTCATTAGCACAAGTCTGGAGTAACCTTTAATCCTTTAATCTTTAAACCTTTAAACCTTTAATCCTAATTTTACCAGCATTCCTAGTGCCCCTTGCAAATAAGGTGACACCTTTATGAGAATACTGGCCATTGTCCATGCATTATAGGTCTTTGCATTCCGGCTTGTGGTGAAACAAATTATTCACAATCCTGTGTAAACTCTGAGAATTGTTTTGCCTATTGATTCTTGGTAGTTCTGTAACTGAATTTACATAGTCTCCTTTCAAATATGAGTAGATATTATTCAGCCTAAGACTCGAATATAGTCTTCCACAGCACTCTGGACCTTCTTTCTATGGATCTTTCTTTCCTTCCACATGCAGCTGCACAGATTCTGGCTGTTGGTTTGTTGTTGTTGTTGTTGTTTGTTTGTTTTAAATTCTATTGGTTCTTTTTAGTTATACATAAGGTAGAATCCATTTTGATATAATTATACAAGCAAGGAATATATCTTATTCTCAATAGGACACCACTCTTCTGGATATACACAATGGTGGTGTATTCATATATATGTATTCATATATGTACATAGGAAAATTATGTTAGATTCATTCCACTATGTTCCTTGTCCTAGCTCCTCTCCCTTCCCTTCATTCCCTTTGTCTAATGTAGTGAGTTTCTAGCTGTTTTGACCTCCATGAACTTCATTCTTTGTTTGGCTCAGTGAGACTGCTTGAGTTTCCCCTGTCTGTGCTGCAGCCTTTAGATTGTCCCTAGGCAATAAGAAGAGGGGATTGCTAAACTTAGCTAGCTATTTTTCCTCCTCTAGGCCCTCAGGAAACACAGTTCTGTGCTGCCTATTGTCTGATGCCTGAAAATACTTGCTTTACATATTCTGTTTGTTCATTTTCTAGGTGTATTTTGTTTGTTTTCTATGTATCTATCTATCTATCAATCTATTTATTTATTTATTTTTGTTGCAGTACTAGGGATTGAACCTAGGGCCTCCTATGTGCTAACCAAGTGCTGTACCATAGAGCATATCCCATCCTTTTTCTAATTTCTTCATGCAAAAGGATAAATGTAGTCTTCTTTTACCCATTGTGACTGAAAGTAAAAATTCTATTTTCATAATTATTTGATTGTTTTAAGGTAAAAAGTTTTTATATAATATTTTCTTCAGTGTTCAGTATAAAGTTTTAGTATTTATTTAAATAATTTCCCTTTTTTTCCTAGCACTAATTATTCCAAGATAATTAGAATAACTATATTTGTCCATGATATTATATAAGATGTTCATTATTTTAATATCCTAGGAATAAGCCAATGCAAATTAATAAGCTTTGGAAGAAGAACAATTTACAATACTATTCATTTCTTGGGATCTATTTAGTCTATTTGTTAGTCATATGTGTTATTTAACTAATTAAAGTTTATGTTACAGAGTAAAAAAACCTGCTTGATATTTGTTACAGTTCTTACATTGCATAAATAAAAAAGGAAAATGTGTTCAGATTAATGTATTTTATTTCCATGTGGATATGAATTTGTCACTTAAAATTATCCTTTCAAATTTTTAATGCCTTTTCTCACTCTTACCTTATTCATTACTACTCATTCAAATCCACGTAGAAATTTTCATAAACGCATATCAAGTGTCTAATGAAAGAAGAATTGTCATGGTCAAATGTGTTTAGTGATTCACACCTATAAATTTTTTCTCTTAATATTGTTTTGGCCTTACTAGTGGCAGGTGATAAACAAATTGAAGCACACTATTCCATCTATGTCTGATCAAGTGGAAATTGGTGCTCATAGTTACATTTAAAAAATTTTCCTGAATCCTGGTATGAAAAAAAAAAAATGAGGTGAATAAAATATTTTTCTGGTACATATTTACATTTGAAAGTCATTGGAAACTTCTTTCCCCCACGCAAAATAACAAGTTAACTTTATTAATACCTTAAATCCATACTTATAAAGCATACTTCTTGTCCTGTTTGGCCTGATTTTGCACCTGATTTTTCCTTTATTTCACTTTCTTCCCAGGAAAACGGTTGGTGTTTTCTGTTGTGGACCCAGTTCAATTTCCAAGACTCTTCATAAATTAAGTAACCAGAACAATGCCTATGGAACAAGATTTGAATACAATAAAGAATCTTTTAGCTGAAACCCTATGTGGTGAACCAGGACTCTAAAGAAGGAATGAGTGCAATTTCCAAGACTTGGAAGCTCAACTGAATCGAACAGTTGTGTTATGCCAAAGAGTAACAAGCTTTTCTTATTTATGATTATTTAAAATGAAAATGCAGAGAATGTGGCAGCATGACAGGTCACATTACATGTTTAATCTGGAAACCAAAGACCTGAGGAATATCTGAAGTGGTGATTCACTTTTCAATGTTCAAATTACAAGAATACTATTAGATACACACTGTTAATCTTTATGGCAAATTTGGGAACTCCCTGGTGAGGAGCTGAACTCACTCACTCTGAAGCTGTTAGCTGTGGTCCTCTTTAAATTGTTTTTGGTTGAACAAATACAAGATTGAAAAAAAAATAAAAATTCATTGAAACTCAGATTACATTTCCTACATTGCATATAACAGAGTAGCTTTAATTTGGAGAGGCTCCAGGCAAATATATTTGATGTTTGAAAATGCAGCACATGATTCTGGTTGATTCAGGTACTTTGTGTCAGTATCCAATCTTCTTCACCATTGATGCTAATACCTCTCTTTGTATCTGTACACAGCATGCTAACTGAACCTTCTGCAGATGTTGATATATCATCTATTTTTATGTTTTTCTCTCTTCCTTGTCCTCTGTCTAGTGAAATCTGTCCTTCTTTACTATCATTAGACACAATGATTCAATAAGTTCTTTTCATCTCCTATTTACTTAATCTATTACTACTACATAGTAATGAAAATATCATTACTATAATTTTAATGGGACATATATGCTTTTTTCCTTTTTCACTGTTTTAGCCCCTGCTGTTTTTTTTTCACTCCCCTCTCCCCCAGATATAGTTTGTCTAAGGTTTTAGCTCAAAGTACTTTGTCTGATTTGTACTCCGAGATCAAAGAGTACTATATTTGGTAGCAGGCACTGAAATATAAGTTTCATCTCTTTTGTCACACATTGCTAAGCCCAACATCCACTCCCAGTACTAGGATTGAACCCAGGGGCATTAAGCTACATCCTCAGATCTTTTTTAATTTTTATTTTGAGACAGGGTCTCACTAAATTGCCCAGGCTGGCCTTGAACTTGCCATCCCCCTGCCTCAGTCTCTAGAGTATCTGGATTGCAGGTGTGTATACATGTTGTTTTATGTTGGAGACAGTTAAAGTGTAGTCACATTCCTAAACAGGGACCTGCTGTTTTACTTTCTACAAAAGTAGATGTACCTCACTAGCTATTGAAATTTCAGTTTAGAATTAAGAGTGGTATTGTTGCACTGGATGATGTCATAAATTCTTAGGATTAAAATTACTGTTGGGCTATGCTGTATGATTCCATCAGTTTGTAATGCCTGGCAGTTATATTCTTGCCTTAGAGGAAAAATCCTCTTTACTATCCTAAGAATTCAGGCATTCATACAATTTAGTGATTTTTGTTCAGTAGACATCTATGAATTATCATCAAATAGAACAAATTTCTGAAATCAGCAATTCACTTGTCTGGTCTTTATTAAAATCTTGCAAATAACACAATATAATAGATGCTGTTGTCTTTTTTTTTTTTTTTTGCTATGATTCACCAATAGCAATCGAGCATGCTAAACCATTCAATGCCGTTCTTCATTTGCCTGGATTTTTTTCTTCTCCCTTCTGCAGAAAGAAGGTGAGTCAGAAAGTGATTAAAAAATGTGCAATGCTCCTGCAAATTTACATCTGAAAGCATAATTAATAACTAGTACATCTTAGCAAAACTTTCTAGATTAAAAAGAATTTTCATGAAAACATGTAATGGAAAGAATTAGTAAAAAGAATTGAGTTTATGCAATCTTTATGTGCAATACTGACTTTACTGATCATAATGTATTTTTGTGCTTTCATTAGGGCATTTAATTTTGGTAATACAGTAATATTTTTTAAACGAAACATGGTATTTCAGACCAGGTTTGCTATGCTAAATGAAACTCCTTGCCTCTTCTAAATTCTAGTAGATGTTTAAATATTAATATTCAACAGTTAAATTTTGTTTCTGTTTATAAGAATGAATTTAAAGCACATATGATATCTTCATTTTGCTTTGAAGAACTCTTTCTATAGGGGATTGTTGTGGTACAAGTATTCTATCACTAATTTTAATGGCAACACACAATAAAATTGAAATGGTGTCCTTGGAATTTCTATAAGCTCACCTTGCCTTTGCAACAATAAAGCTGTAACATTTGTTCACAAGTTTTCCATGTTTCAGAAGCAATCTGTTCCTCAGGAATTAGCATTTGAGTGCACATTAGCCTGTTAGCCTCAGGAGTTGGGATTCTCAGTGTCACAGGCTAGTGGTGTGACTAGGACAAATGACTTCTCACACTGGGGCTAAAGTTTCTGAAGTTAAAGTTAAGATTGGTAATTCTTAATTTTTGAGAACTTAATTCAAAATAAATATTGGGCCACACAATACATTGCATATAACATTCGGGACTACCAAAACAATGTTTAGTAGCAAGAACAGATATTTAAGAACTTCTGATAAAAAAAAAAAGATTATTATTATAGGCCTTTCTTCCTATACATTTTTTTTCCTTTGGTCTTTTGGAAGAAACTATCCAATTTTGTATAGGATCATACTAAGGAATTTATGGGCAAACAAATTCCCTTTGTATTTTCCTAAAAAAATAGACTGATGGTACTTTCTATCATTTCTTAAACTTCCTGACTCCCCTTATATGTGTAAGGGAATTCTTTAGTTTTACATGTAAATAATAATCATAAAAACCTCAGATTTGAATACATACATTCATATGTACATATATTTGGGGCTTGTTTTACTTTTAACTAGTGACTTCAGGTGAAAATGAAATGCTTGATAGTTATTCATTTAGGGACTTAAAAATTTCAGTTGAGTGACTATGATAGTACAGACATCTGAAAAAAAAAACACACAATTTAGATCAGGCATAGGTTGAATTGAATTGATTTAATCTACATAGCCATATTATTTCCAACCATCCCTTCCCTAATCAGTTTTTACTTGGATTACCTACAGAAGGTAATGGATTGAAATTATAAAATATTGTCAAAAAATCTTGTTAGAGACAAAAAGGCTATTGTCATCAATAGATAATGCTGATGCTGAAGAATCTGCATTATATTAAACTTTTCAGGGAAAGTTTTTGCTTTTCTCCTTAAGGATGGTTGCCACGCTGACCAGAGATTTTTTCAAGTCAGTCAATGGGGCAAATCTTTGTTTCAACTAAACGGTTTATTATTTTTGTCATAGCTTGGATTTTTTTATATTCAATATATTACAGAAATACAAAACACTGATGGGATCCTTATTTTGCTTATTAGGCAGTTAAGGAAACTGATGCCCTAGGAGAGAGATTATAACTTGTCTTAAATCATTGACATTGTAACAGAGCTGTGCTCAATTTTTCTAGTTATTGCTACTAAAAGACTCTTTTCACACTCCCCTGCCGAAATATATATCTAATACAATATCTAGTCTCTTTAGTTTGAGTCTCCTTATAAAATTCCTAGTCAGTGTTGGGTGAAAAATAAGGTACTCAGCAGTAATTCCAGATGCAAATACATACAGTCATATTTTTTTCCAATTTGTGTTCTGATTCTAAATTTGTTAGCCTTATATGTTTTGCCTAATAGAACATATTTTCAGATATCAGTTTTCAAAACTGATAATTACGTTAAAGATACTAGATTCTCCAGAACTTTGCATTGGAAGGATACATAGTTGTAAAATTTCTAGGAAATGCTAATACTGTAGTTTTAAATTAAGGTTCATAAATGAAAGTCACAACTTTACCAGCTTTTTAACTACCCAGAAAAATATTAATATTAAAACAAGTGACTGTTGTTCTCTATTTACAGAACCATAACTTCTTCTTGTCTAGGAGGAAAGAACCAGCCTTTTGTAAGTCAGTAAACAGGAAATACATGGAATCAAGCTTAATGAAATTGGCATTTATTTCAGCCACCAAAAAACAATGAGAGCCCACTGTTTCCCTCTGTCTAAATACTGGCTCTGTTGCCCCAACTTCTTTATTCCATTTTGCATTTTTTTAAAGGACAGAGTTACAAAAGTTAGCTAGACTAAATTTTTCTAAGAAAAAACTCAGAAGATTTCCAATACCTAACAAAGAAGAGTCCAATAAAAGAGACTAAAGGTTATGTAAATTTTTTAAAATAAACAGAAACTAAATAATGTTGCTTTAGAGCAAATACCAATATTGTAAATGTACTATGTTACCCTATATATTTAAGAATTGCTTGGTGAGGATACGAACATTCTCATAGAAGCAAAAGTAGAAAGAAAAAACAAATTATAGAAATAAAAATTATTTAAAACATCAGGATGTAATCCTCCTATCTTATAAGATGCTCAGGTTGAGTGTTAAAAGTGGTTATTAATTTGGTTTGGGAAAAAATTTTAAAGAACCCAGTGTCTCTTTTTAGGGAGCTTTTCACATTTTCATTGGCACTATAATTTAAAAGAAATTTTGTCTTTTATCAAAATTATATCTCACTTCTTTTAAAAACAGAGTTCTGTGAGCTGCTATTTGACCTAGAGAAGACCCTAGCATTCCTGATGAAAATCAGCATTACATAAATATGCTCATGTACATGACAATAAAGAAGGGGAGGGTGCCATGCATTGCTGAGTGACACACACCATAATATTCTGTCATTGAATGGTGATATTTCACAGATCTTATTCTTCCACCCAGGGAATGAAAACGTTCTTAATACATGTAGAAACAGAAAACCACAGTATCTCTGTTGTATCATTACAGTGTATCAGTTCACCTCTATCAGCACATTCATTTGAACCTCCTTATCAATTCAGTATAAATTGATTTTAGGAGTGAGAAGTCTACACAATGCATAAAATGGGGTCTTTGCTTATCTGGTCATAAGTATATTGTGGCCTACACATTAGCTAGGGAGATACTATTAAATCTTTTTTCCCCCCTTTCTTCTTGGGAGAGACCCAAAGGAATGCAAATTACTGCATGTATGTCAGAATGGGACCTGGGTGGTACTCTATGGTGCTATTAGAATTGCTGCACACATTCCACAGGTACCCAGGGACTGTGGTTTAAGAAAGTGTCAGCTTTTGAGTCAGCCTGGCATCTTTAAGGACAAATCTAGGTGCTCTCCATGGGTTAATAACCTTTATTTAAAGATTATGATTATCTGCATACCAAATGCCATTAGAAGGAAATTATCTTTATTTTCTTGTCTTTTTGTTAGACTTTGTTTTAAAATGAAAGGTAAGAATAGCAGACATAATTTTAAGAGGTGGGAATAATAGACTGAGGCTGTTCTATCTTGAGACTGACAAGTAGTGTTAGCATTTATTTTATCACCCCCAAAGTGTGTGGAATGAATGGGATTTGGGGTTAGGATTCAGAGGATTTGGAGCCTCCATCCCTGGAATGTATTAGACTACATATTTAAAAACAAGAATAATGTCTAATTTATAGGGATGCCATATGAAAGAATGTGGGGGAAGGAACAAAAAGGATAGGAAAGAGAGAAGTTTCCTTGCAAATCTTCCTTAATAGGTTTTTGATAACAATAAAAATAAAGCACTATTCTAAGAAAATATAAACAGAAGCTTTTCCATTGTAACTGAAAGCTTTAGTACTTGATTTGATTTTCTGGGCAAGTTGAGCAGTAGCCACAAACTAACCCACACCACTATCTCTCTTTGTTCTTCTGAGATCCCTATAAACAAAGTTACCTGTTACATCTAGCATAGGATATGCTTTCTGAATTCCTCTTGGCTAATTTTGGCCAGGTACAATGTTTCTGGAGATAGTTGTATTGATTTACGAAACTTGAGTTTGGAATTGTTGGAGGGTAATATGAGTTATCCTGCTTATTTAAGATTTGATTGAGAAAAATGTAGGTATTTTCAAGACATCCAGTGAATTAAAACCTGTGTTTTAGAACTAGAAAAAATTCTATAAAAGAAAAAAAAAAACTACAGCATCATAACTACTCTTTTCAGGTGGGAATAAATTTATTGTTCTCTTCCTCTTACCAAAGAGATGTTACATCTGTGTTTTCATCAAACCTCACATTATTTAAATAGCATGTGTTCATCTTTATGGTGGATTATAAGAATAATTGCTTGAGTGAAAATGGAATTTGACAATAGAGTGTAGACTACTTTCAAGCTGTGACAGTGTTCCACTGTGGCAGGTTTGCAATTGGAGGAAGTGCAGTCCACCTATCAAAATGTGAGGTATTCCACAAGGCAGTGTGGCATTTGAATCTTGTCTAGTTAAATGGAAGTGTGATGTTATGCAGTACTGGAAAGGAAATGCTAAATCAAATTATTTGCAATCAAATTGTAAAGAATAAAAAATATATTTATGTATATATATTTTTTATTGCTCTAAAATCATAGTACATTATAGAAAATCTTTATTGCTTTGGGAAATGACCTTTATTTGCTTAAAAACTAAGCAAATAAAATTTGAACAATTATACCAAACACTCTCCTGTCATAAACTAATTGTCCACTTTGGATAGTAACAATGAAGAATTTTCCCTAGTATTTTCAGAACAGCATAGTATTGTTTTTAATCAAGTGAAAGTCCAAATGATCAGGCCAATAATATAATAATCAAGTAACGTTTAAGAAATGCTCCTTTGAAACACTTTGAGGATGGTTTAATTTCGAAGTTATAAATACTTTTGTAATTTTCCTTTCAGTCGGATAACTGATAATTATAGATACCTGATCACTAAATTTAACATGCTGAGTTAGGGATTTGGGCTTTATTTTTTGTTTGTGTTTTAGTATTATTCTAAAATCTTATAACTGTGCCTACTAAAATTCAAACTACCTATTTATACAATTTTAAAACACTGAAGTTATGTTATTCTGAACAGGAAATTAATAAAACATAAAACATGCTTATTATGAGATCCAAATTAGTTTTTATATTCAGTTACTGAAGATTCCAGTTTTACTAAACATTGAGTATACTATACATATTTACACCCATGTTATAATTCCTGCTTAGAGGTATCTGTTTTTTCCAATGCATTACCATCTGCCTGTTTTGAATATCTGTAAACTATACAAATGATTAATAACAATAGGGTAACTCACACATTTGTCTGACATTTAAATTGGTGGGGTTTGAAATGCTTGTAATAAGCGAATCTTGGAGACTAGCGTTCTGATGCCATCTGAAAATTGA